GCAGTCTCACTGGTCTCATCTCCTGCAGCAGTCTCACTGGTCTCATTTCCTTCTGCAGTCTCAATTATCTCATCACTCGCTGCAGTCTTAACCTTTCCCCCTCTCTTATGAACACTTCATATGCTCTTAAACACTTTTTGGCAATGACAATGAAGATGATGAGATGAATTAAAAGTAGCCTACAGCACAACATGTACATTTTACACAATAGAAAAAAACGGGTTTAAAAAACTCACAATCCAGTGAAGCTACAAGAAGTGAACTGCAATATAACGAGGGAAGACTGTATTCCCCCTCTAAAAATAAATACTAGACTTGTGTTCTGTATTTTCCTCTACTCTTTTTTTTGGATTTGCCATGTCTTGGATAACTGAGAATCTATTCCAGAATTTTGACTTTGACATTTCTTAATGTTTAGAAGTCTGTAAAAATAACACAAATTTTATATCTTGGATTAACCCTTTAATTTAACCTATCAATGTTCAATTTGACACTGCATCTGCTGTTTACCAATGACACACCTGTCAACTTGAAAGCAGATCAAACAAGCACATAAAAATATTCTTAAATAAACTGGTACACTGTTATAGACCTTTATTGACAGGATCTTTCTGTGCTTATATGTCTTTTGGGCGTGTAGCTGGGAGATCATTGATTCAGGTCCTGATAGCCGGTCTGGAACTGGACCTCAGCTCAGCGACTCCCTCAAACTCTTCCTGCAGGAGACGTCGGCTTTCAAACAGCAAAACCCTGGCAAGGTGAGACCAAGACCCCAAAGACAAAAAAAAACAAAGAAAGATATTTTTAAAATTTTTAGCAAATTTTGAGAACAGAGTTTTCACAAAGTAATCAAGTCCAAATGCTTCTATGTTTTTTATTTAAAGTATTTTAAAGCAGTATCTCGTAAACTGTTTCTTTAAATTGACAGGAATGACATTTTGACTATAAGATGATCAATACACGGACACTTTGAGAAGATGTCGACATAAAATGTTTGGCAGAAAACCTGAATAGACACAAAAAGAAAACCATGGAACAATGTTTTTTGACAGATTTAGTTTTGACATAACAACTTTTGTGCAAGTGGAAGTAACGCAGCTACTTTAGACTATAACTTATAGAAAACATTATTATGAATGTATTCTTCACTTTCCTGGTTTCTGCTTTTGTCTTCTCTAGTTCTGCCTGTTGGTTTGCAGCTTGTGCACCTTTTTTGCTGTTTTAGGGCGTTACATTCCAGGGATCGTTATCTCATATATCTTTGGTAAGTGCTAACATGTTGCACACAAAAAGAACGACTGATGCATTTAATTATTGAAGTCAAATCTGCCTGGTGTGTTATGAGCTGTTTTGTGAACACATACTCCTTTATTTTTCATCTTTTCAAAGTTTTTAGCTTTTTCCTGTGGCCTCTGCTTTCATCTTATGATGCTGGTTTGTGGCTGAAGCCAGTTCTGCAGAAGCTGGACTTTGGCATTGGACAGTTTTTTCAGAAAATCCAAGAGAACCATGGTAACTATTAATTTTAATGTAATTTACAACAATATTAAAATACTTTAATCATCATTTATTTAGGCAGCCAGAGTCAAACCAGCCACTAGAGAGCACTGTCATTGTTTCTCTTGTGCTGGTCCCAAGCCCAGTTAAATGGTGAGGGTTGTGTCAGGAAGGGCATCTGACGTAAAACACATTTGCCAAAACTAATATGCGAGTTCATCTAAGTGACACCATACTGGATTGGTTGAGGCCTGGGGTAACAACAACCACCACCGGTGCTGTTGACAAACAGGGTGCTGGTGGAAATTGTGCTATTGTTAGTCAAAGACCATGAGGAGGGAAACATGTCAGGAGTCAGAGGGAGAAGAGAGGAGTCAAGAATGTAGGACTGAGGGTTGCAACTCTATAATGTGGGGACAATGACAGGTAAAGGTAGAGAGCTGGCTGACATGATGCCAAGAAGGAAGGTAGATGTTTTATGTGTCCAAGAGACCAAGTGGAAGAGCAGCAAGGCTCGCAGCATTGGAGCAGGGTTCAAACTGTTTTACCATGGTGTGGATAGAAAGAGAAATGGAGTAGGGGTGGTCCTGAAGGAGGAGTTGGCAAAGAATGTAGCAGAGGTGAAAAGAGTGTCAGATAGGATGATGTGTTTGGAGGTAGAAGTAGAAGGTCTGATGCTAAACATTGTCACTGGTTATGCTCCACAGATTGGATGTGATGGGGAGGAGAACAATACATTTTGGAAAGATCTGGATAAAGTGATAGAGAGTATTCCCAGGGAGGAGAGAGTGGTGATGGGAGCAGACCTGAATGGACATGTTGGTGAAGGAAACAGAGGATGAGGAAGTGATGGGTAGGTTTGGTGTCAAGGAAAGAAACCAGGAAGGACAGATGGTGGTGATTTTTGCCAAGAGAATGGAAATGGCTATAGTCAACACCTATTTCTAAAAGAGGGAGGAGCATAGAGTGACCTATAAGAGTGGAGGAAGGAGTACGCAGGTCGACTACATTCTGTGTGGAAGAGGAAACCTGAGGGAGATTGGAGACTGTAAGGTTGTGGCAGGGGAGAGCGTGGCCAGACAGCATCGGATGGTTGTGTGTAGAATGACTGTTGTTGTGAAGAAGAGAAAAAGAGTAAAATCAGAGAAGAAGACCAAATGGTGGAAGATGAAGAAGGAAGAACGATGTGAGAAATTCAGAGAGGAGCTGTTAAAGGCTCTGGGTGGTAAGAAAGAGCTTCCAGATGACTGGACTACTACAGCAACAGTAATTAGAGAGACAGGTAGGAAGGTACTTGGTGTGTCATCTGGACAGAGAATGGATGATCAGGAAACCTGGTGGTGGAATAGTGAAGTGCAGGAAGATGTTCAAAGAAAGAGATTAGCTAAGAAGAAATATGACAGAGAGAGGACTGAAGAGAGGAGACAGGAATATAAGGAGATGGGACGTAGAGCAAAGAGAGAGGTGGCTAAAGCAGAAGGCGTATGATGAGTTGTATGGGAGGCTGGACACTAAAGAGGGAGAGAAGGACTTGTACCGATTGGCAAGACAGGGATCAGGCTGGAAAGGATGTGCAGTAGGTTTTATTTAAATTAGTGTTGATCATGTTTGTTTTTTTACTTTGGCTGCTTTTTCCACTCACTTTCAGAAAAATGTTTGCTTGTTAAGTCTTTTAATACCTGACTATTATCAGTCAGGCATAAAAGGGCTTCTAAACCCAAGGAATGAGTCAGTGGTGTGTCCACACATAACAGACAACACAACAATGAACCTATGTTAAATTTTAAAAGTCAACAATGCGTAAAAAATAAGATGCATGATTTACCAGAAAAATAATATTTTCTTTCAGAGAAGAGACTCATTCAGGCGCAGACTGAGAAAGAAGGCATTGAATCTGACCTTTCTTCCATGTTTCCCAAGGTTGGTATTCATCCTTCCATTTCAATCTAATCATCTTGTGCTAACTGACAGAGGTCCAGTTAAAACTGATGAAATCACCAATCATGATCCACACAGGTACCATCATGTATACTCAACATCTGGCCAAAATTACTTTTGAAATGTTCTTTTAGTAAACACGGGTATATTTTAGGACTTTCTAAACTTTTGCTCTTAAGCATGGATTCCTCTTATTACTTTTTGAACAAGTTGGATCCTTTGAAAAGGGATCATTCATGATGGTAGTTGGACTTTAAACTGAGACAGAACTGACTTAATCTTTGCTCGACTCGCTAAAGGTCTTGTTAATTTATTAGAGTGGAAAAAAGTAATCACAAGCTTCATCTTAAACCTTAAACAAATTACAAAGTTTGTTCACAGTCAAGGTAAAAAAAAATATTTAAGCCAGAGAAATATATTCGTAATTCAGTCTGTTATCAATTTTTAAGATCAAGACTCCAAACTGTGGATATAAGTCAATATTTGGTCAAATGTGTTTTTTTGTAGCAGAGAAGATGCTCATTCTTATATATTAATGGCTGTGGAGTGAAATGTCAAAATTCAGCTTGTTTTATCTTTTTAATTGATGTCATTTCATGATTTTAGAATAACATGTAACACAGTTTACCTATTTTGTGTTTGCATTTTTGTGTAGCTTTAATAGTGAACTCATTTTCCTGCTGGATTGTTCACATTTTTGTGATGTCACAAACTCAGTTCAGCAGTAAGGAACCCTGTCCTGGATTTTGCCCAATAAAATGTAACGTCTCTGTGTGTTTCCGTCCATCAGCTGGACTCTACAGTTTGTAAAGAAATGTCTGTGTCGGACACAGAAGTGTCTGATGTGACATGGACAGACAACGGTACTTTCAACCTATCAGAGGGACACACACCACAGACAGAAAACTCGGAGGGTAGGATTTTATAAAACTTTGGAGTTTCTGGGGGGTTTGTTTTGATATTTTGACCAAAAGCTGTCTTACTTTGTAGACCTCGACAGAGAAGAAGCATTCACTGGTGGTCTCCCAGAATTCCCGTCACTTGATAACGGCATGTCAAGCAATGGTGATGATGATGACCTCAGCCTTGACCTTGCCTTACCTCCACTTCAGCCACAGCAACCAATCAAATCCAAGCATTCAGCTCTTCCTCCACACAAAGGCCAACCTGCAGACAACACCCTAGAGGTGGTCAACCAGATGGCAGGTGATGTCATCACCGCCGCCGTCACAGCCGCCATTCAGGAGAGAATAGAAGCAGCGGTCAGCTCCATGGGTCTGAGCAAGGATCCTGAGCAGTCCAGACCCCCTGACTCGACCCGGCTGCTGGAGCTGGATGAGGATTCGGACAGCGAAGTGGAGGACTTTGAGCTGTTGGACCAGTCAGAGTTGGAACAACTGGAAGGGGAGTTAGGGCTGGTAGAGAAGAAGACAAAGTCTAAAGAGGAGGTGCAAGCAAAAAGTGACAAACCATCCTCGTCTGGATTCTTCTCCAAACTCCTCAGACGCCACTGATTAGAGAAAAGTTAGGGAAAGCTCTGCAAGGGACGATAATGGGTCACAGAAAACACACGGGGAGATGGAGAATTGTGATCACTTTAGGCTTTTTGTGCAAATAAAACAATGTTTTCATTTTTTTTTTATCTCACACAGACAACCTGAATGGTTTTAGTTTAATAAATGTGGAGGTAGAAGTTCAGTCACTTTAATCGGATCCAGCCCTAATATGAGATGAGCCCAGTAAAGCCCAAATCACACGCTGAGCTGTGCATAAAGCCACATACTGTATCTGAGAAAACCTTACATGCACCAGGATCTGTTGAAAATGAAAATGCAGCTGGAATACCTCCATGTAAAATCAGTGAATCAGATTTTTTTTTAAATAGAATAGAAAAAAATGTATAACCATTTAGAAGTTATCTGAAAAAATTTTAAAATCACAAAACAAATGTGTCAAACATCTTCCAATTTTGGATTTCTCTGCAATAAAACTGGATTAAATCAAAGTTTATAAGACTTGTACAAAAAATACAACACATTCCAAAACAAGTTCTGACTTGTAATATATATATATATATATATATAT